ATCAGAGCAATCTTTCATTTACTTATTTAACATGAAATTGCCAAATTGCTACTCCATATCAATCGCATACAAAGAAAATACAGAATAATTAGAACAATCATTAACATAAATAAATAACAGCGTGTCATATCTATAGGCCTACACATTTTCCCCAGAACGTTCTTGCGACCCGGTAGCAATTCTTCCACGGCCCGGTAGTGGGTCGCGACCCGGTGGTTGGGGGCCTCTGATCTAAGGTATCTTGTTAAAAATGAAAATTCTGTCATTTACTCACCGCCATCATGTCGTTCCAAACCTGTAAGACTTTAGTTCATCTTCGGAACACAAATTAAGGTATTTTAGTATTTTAATGAATGTGTATCTGTGAGATTTCTACGCAACTACGACTTTGCCGCTTCAAAAAGTTCATAAAGAGAACTTAGATCTTGAGTCTCATCAGAAAATTTGGACGAAACCGCTCAGTTCATGTGGATTATAGTTTTTCGATCTCTTTATGAACGTTTTGAAGTGATAGTTGCGTAGACTGTCAATGGAGGGACAGAAATCTCTCAGATTTTATTAAAATGTCTTCATTTATGTTCTGAAGATGAATGAAAGTTTTTCAGATTTGGAACGACATGAGAGCGAGTAAATGATGACGGAATTTTCATTTTTGGGTGAACTATCCCTTTAAGAGTTCCCCACAACCAATGTGAGCCTAAAGGCTGGAATGCACCACACAATTTTTAAAACAGATTTAAAAGACTAGGCATCATACACTGGCTGACTTTTAATTGGTTACAGAGAAAAACTGGGCATCATAAACTAAACAACTGAAGATAAAAAAAATCAGTGCCTTTCATAACCTATTTTCTGTGAAATCTGTCGATTCCGACTGCCCAAATTAAGTATCAACTTTTCTAGACTGAAGATCAGGGCAAAAATCTGTGCAGAAGTCATGTAGTGTATTCCAGCTTTAAATTGATCGTAGAGGCAATTGGTGTCAATGGCTTCTACGATCTGTTTAGGTTTAAAGTGCTGTTGGAAGTCTCAGTATAAAATCAATTTCTATTTAAATTCTTTAAAGACCCAATGAACTGTGAGCCACATTAATTTTATAGCTCTTTACGTATACTGAACATCAGCTGTTGTCTCATTTGTGCCTATTTTTTATTTCTCCTGAAGAATGTTTGAAGAAACATCTGAAAAAAATGTCATGCAAGAGCAACATCTGAGCAATAAAACTACCCTCAGGATTGTCCAAACAAAGCAGTTTAAGGTGGCAGTGTTAAGACAAGAGCTGTGAAAACACATTTTTGGTGCATAGGGACCAACTTTGAAGTGTAGAAATTATGAAGGTTAGATGCTTGTGAAGGCCCAAATGAAGGATTTATATCTCTTGAGGGATCTCAGAATAAGAGGGGCACGTGTGAGTCGGGGGACGTGCTACTGAGAACATTCTTGCAGCTATGGAAAATGGGCTGTCTTATCTCTGTATCTGTCCTGAGGACATGGAAAAAGTTGATTATGAATTCCTTCGACAGGGCATTAAGGGCATAATGAGTAAATGCTCACTCAAACACACCTCATCTCAAATAAAACCCCTAAAGGTGATTTAAGAAGTTGTCTGCAGTACTAGAGGATAGTGTTGATAGTATTTTGATAGTTGATAGTTCAAGTCTGGCTCATGTAAATTTCTGAACCCATTCCCACCCATTGTTACCAGATAAAAGTGATACAAAGCATGCCCGTAAAAAAAAAAAAAAAATCCACCCAAATACCCTGCTGAAAAGATCAGTGTAGTTTTTTTCGCCAGTCCAGGTTGACTCATGCTGGTGAAGTTGGTCAATCAGCAAACTGGTTGTTGGGCTCTTTAAAAAGCTTGGTGCCGACACCTGATCAGGCGTGTGCTGTGATGCATTTCAGAAGCATGTCATGTTTGTCTGCGAGATTCTATCCATCTGTTTCATCACAGTTTTATTAAAATCCTTTGACAGTTTCTTGTGGCCTTGGCTGATGGTTTTAGCATTGTTTCCTATTAGTAGACAGGAATGCTGGATCTTAGAGTGTCTGGAGTTCTATAAACTTACAGAATGTCTTTAATGTGGTGAGCTGAGTCTCACAGCACACAGCATCTGCACATAGTCGGGAAACTTTTATGACTGAATATGTTATCCAGCGCTGCCGTCTCCTGCTCCCTTGTGCTTCTCTGATAATAGAAAACAGCAGATCACAGGAGAGATCACACCTGCCAAAAATCCAGCCAGGACCAGCGTTTGATAGTTATAAATGTTCTCTCAGACTGGACAGAACTGGTTTTGCTTTAAACTGATAAATTGGTCGAGATTCACCTGGGGCCGGATTCACAAAATGTCTCTTTAAAAAAGAGTTAAGAAAGTTTTTAAGATAAATTGGGGGGGGGGGACCTTAAGAACATTCTGTTCAAGAATTTGAGTTATTTTTAAGTTTTCATTAAAAAGTAGACATTCTGTAGAAGATAAAAACATCCTTTAGAAGTATTTTTGGAATACAAAATATTCTTAACTTTGTTCTTAAGTTAGAATTAAAAGTAAATGCCATATTATTCTTAAGAATGTTTCATGAATCCGGCCCCTGGTAGGTCTTGACCATTCTAGTTAGGGCTGCTAGACTACCTTGACTAAGCTGGCGTGGTGATGGTTGAGCTGGTTAACTGTTGCACCACTGTAAGCTGGAATGCCGTGTTTCTTTGGCCATTTCAACAGAAGATGTATATTTAAGGTAGAAATGTGAGGAAGCATCTCACATTTCAGCATCTCACAAGCATCTACTGTATTGTGGGTGGATGCACATTCTCAGACTTCCAGTGAATTGTTCCTGTTCCCTGCTGGAATATCCAGTTAGCACTACATTTAAGGTGATAAATGGTTTAGTTTTGCAGGATGGTCCAATCTGGTAATTAGCTGGAACTACTGGAACAAGTATGTTTAGGTGGTTTTAGTCAACCAGACTACCAGTTTATGGAGCCAAGGTAGACCTGGTAGATCTTGATCACGCTGGTTAGAGCTGGTAGACAACTTTGCCTAAACTGATGTAGACCTCGCTGAGCTGCTTGACCAGTTTGATCACTTTTTTCCAGCCGGTATGGCTGATTTTAGGCTCTGTGGTTGGGCATAAGAGTGATATCTGTAATAAAGAGATTTGTGGTGGGTAGATCCAAATTCTGAGAGTAAAAATACTCCAGCTTACTCTGATTTTAGATTTTTTTGTTTGTACTAGTACATATATTTTGGTTATTCCATTTAGCTTCTCAGCTGTGCATCTGATGTAGTCAAATATGTTTATAGAGATGTTTTTGGGAGCAATATATTATAGTAATTTTTCTCAGTTATTGAACGTAAATAGATCTGGTGGATCTGCTTGACCAGTTTGACCACCTTTAGTTGGTATGAATTTTTCCTACTGGAATTAGAGCAGAATAGCAGTTAGCCGGTTGCAGTATTTGCAAAAGGAACATCTGTTTCTCATTGACTTTGTGCCGGGTCAGAGCTTTAGGGTACTACGAGCAGCATGAACCTGCATGCAGGATGAATATCTCACCCAGCCTTCTGCACGCTAGCTGCTCTGGAACGACTGTTGATGCAGGTGCTTGTCAATGAGACAAAGCACAATCGGGAGCTTTAATCGCAGGCCAGGAGCATTCAAATCGCATGCAGCATTGTCGTGTTCTCTGCTTGACTGTCTCATCCGTTGTGTTTACATCTGTTAATCAGCTGCTCGATCAAGCTAAGCGTGATGTTGCTCATCGCACACGTTTTGAGTTAAATAAGACATGCATCTTTCCAATGTGTCATTATGTCAACTGTGTGCTCTGTTTACAATCAAGATGAAATTATTAATGTGCTGCAATTAAATTTCCTTTGTTCTTATGAGTGCCTATGATTTCCAGATTACGGCATCTGTCTACCATCACTGTCCTTAAACATTATCTTTCATCCTAGGAATGTTGTTATGTGTCCCTCTTTCTCTTTTTCTGTTTTTCTCATTCATACACGCGTGCTCCTGTTATGCAAATGCACACACACTAAACCTGACATGAGAAACATCTAATAAAAAAATCAGCCTGGCATGTGGTACACATGTATATGGAACTTCAGACTTACTTCCAGTGGCCCTTTGTGTATCAAGAAGAAAAGAAATATGGGACATTTCAGTTCTTCTAAATGTTGGTTTAGACATTTTTACATGTACCGGCTGTGTAAGGTGTGAGAGTTATTATGCAAAATAAGCAAGGGAGAAATTATGATTCATTTTCATTTGTGGATGTCTTTATGATTCTGGGACACTTTAGAATATCGGATATTAAAATCTCAGAAAAATGTGATTAGTTAGTTCAGCTTAATTCTGTAGCTCTGAGGTTTAACTGGGCTTATAATATTTGAGAACCTGCCTTGACAGCTTACAGTGTCTAGTATTACATGTTTAAGGTTAATTTAGAAAATGAAAGTTAATTAGCTCATGACAGCATATATCAGAGACTGCCTGCAGACAGATCAGATTCATCTAATGTTCAGTTACGTTAGATGTTTGATACCAGAACATGCCACAATTGTTATTGTGTTAATGAAATTCTTGTAATCTCTTATAATTCTTGTACATTTTTCTTGTAAATTAAACTTTTTTGCTTTTGTGTCCTTCTAGACTGAGGTGGCTAAGGAAGTGGTAAGTGTTTGTCTGACAGAATCAATTTAGGACACTAATTAGCGGCATTATTTATTGTGACTAATAAAGTGTGTGTGTGTGTGTGTGTGTGTGTGTGTGTGTGTCCAACAGTGTCCACTTTCCCCAAAATGCACTTGTGAGAAAGGAGAGCGAGGACCCGGTGGGCCCGCTGTAAGTGTCAAACATTCTTAAAACCCTTTCTAGCCCCTCACACGGTGTTTCAAAAAACATAATTTTATATAAATTCAGAGATTTTGTCCATCCACACATTTTTAATAAAGAGAAGAAATGGTCACCAGATTGATCAAAGTGGCCTGACTGGCTGAACAAGCAAGAATTATAACTGTGTTATGGATAATCATAAAATAAATGGTTCAGCCAAAAATGAAAACTCTGTAATTATTCATACTTATGTCATACATACTAAACCTGTTTGCTATTATTTTTGTATTACTAATTTTTGTAGAATCCCCACACAGCTGTTGTCCATACAGTGACAGTTTATAATCATGTCTGTCAATAACTAAAAAAGGAGCATAAATGGGAAAAAAGCTAAATAAAACGAATCCCTATGACAGGCTTCCTGCATTTTGACGAAACCACACTGAATTTGATTTGGTGGAAAAGCACAATCGGGAGCTTTAATCGCAGGCCAGGAGCATTCAAATCGCATGCAGCATTGTCGTGTTCTCTGCTTGACTGTCTCATCCGTTGTGTTTACATCTGTTAATCAGCTGCTCGATCAAGCTAAGCGTGATGTTGCTCATCGCACACGTTTTGAGTTAAATAAGACATGCATCTTTCCAATGTGTCATTATGTCAACTGTGTGCTCTGTTTACAATCAAGATGAAATTATTAATGTGCTGCAATTAAATTTCCTTTGTTCTTATGAGTGCCTATGATTTCCAGATTACGGCATCTGTCTACCATCACTGTCCTTAAACATTATCTTTCATCCTAGGAATGTTGTTATGTGTCCCTCTTTCTCTTTTTCTGTTTTTCTCATTCATACACGCGTGCTCCTGTTATGCAAATGCACACACACTAAACCTGACATGAGAAACATCTAATAAAAAAATCAGCCTGGCATGTGGTACACATGTATATGGAACTTCAGACTTACTTCCAGTGGCCCTTTGTGTATCAAGAAGAAAAGAAATATGGGACATTTCAGTTCTTCTAAATGTTGGTTTAGACATTTTTATTGTCCATACAGTGACAGTTTATAATCATGTCTGTCAATAACTAAAAAAGGAGCATAAATGGGAAAAAAGCTAAATAAAACGAATCCCTATGACAGGCTTCCTGCATTTTGACGAAACCACACTGAATTTGATTTGGTGGACAAAAGTTATTTGAATATTGCAGTAAAATAAATAATTCAGATATTGGCAACATTTTGAAAGAAAACTGCTCCACTTCTATTTTAAATAAATGATACCATATCAGCCTATGAATAAAACTTTATTCCTTTTTTATTTTAAATAATTTTCAATCTCTAGAAGGGAGCACATAAACATAAATAAATAATTCTGCACCCATCAATTATACCACTTCGACCAATTTTCTTTGTCTATACACTGTTGAGAGAATGACCTGCTGTGCACGGCAGAATCTGAATCATTAGTAAGTTAATGCTCTTTCTCTAAAAACCACAGGGTAAAAAAGGTCGTCCTGGAGAAGATGGAAGTCCAGGACCTAAAGGACAAATGGTCAAAGTTATTTTAAATTACCGCTCATTTTTGTTATTATTTATTTATGTTACCCTCTAAAATGTGACACACTTCCTGCAGGGAGAGAACGGATTCAGCGGTCCTCCTGGACGAGACGGGACAGAGGTGAGAAAGTCCAGAACAAGGCCTAAAGTCACTCTATTTTGACATTATCTGCTTGTGTAATTGCTCTTTCTCACCACATGTTCTGTGTTGATCATTAGGGGAAACCTGGATACAAAGGAGAAAAGGTAAGACGATGCCTCATATACTGATTTATCCGAAGTTATCCGAAATCGGCTGTTATTAGAAATTAAGTAGAGCATGATGCAGTCTCATGGGTTAGATTTCCAAGAAATGCATGAACTGATTAAAAAAAAAAGTATTCCTTGAAATGCAATAAAAGTCACTTTGAATAAAAGCATCTCCCAAATGCATAAATGTAAATATATGCACATGTTATGAATGTCTTATTTGTAATCCTTAATGGTGCACTAAATCATTTTTTGCTTATGTTGTGCTGGTTGATGTGACAGTGGTCTTTAAAAGTTAATATATACATTTACATATAAAAATGATAATAGTAATTTGGAATTTAAAATTTTGGGATTTTGCCTTGTATTATAAATTACTTTGGATAAATCTGTTCACTAAATTAATAAATGTATATGTTAAATCTAACTAAACAGATTTGAAAGCAATACAAAATTAAATTATTTTCTTGCCTGTCTCTGATATGACTGCAGACTTCACCTCATCTGAGTTGTCTGTGTCAGTGCTGATATGCATCTGTGTGCTACTAAGGACAACTCAGAACTTAATTATTTTTCTGGAATGTTCTTTTTTTCACATACCGATGGCTGCCATCTGAGCAGCAGATTAATGTCTGGACTTGCATGCATGTGTCGCACCACAAATCAGTATTTCTGTCTTTGACAGGTGAAGGTGTTCTGCCTAATGTGTCTGAACACAGTAATTGCAGTCTTTACTTTAGTATGTCTGACATGAGCCATGTTTCTTTAAAGACCCCCAGTTTCATCTGCCCAATGAAAGAATGCATAAAGACGTGTGCCTAATGGCCCGACATAATAGTCATGAAATGATTTTTATAACATTATGGTTATTGTGATTTTTCCATTTAACAGATGCTGCTGATATTCAAAGCATTCCCTTAAGGTTAAGTCTTTTGTTTAAAGCTGCACGTGTTTATTTTGGTGCACATATTAACACAGGCTTGATGACAAGCACACTGACTTTATATTCAGTGAATCTGACTGAATCCAGATGATGTAAGCAGTTTATTGCTGCAGTTTGAGTTTTGGGATCAGTTCCATGTAGATTAATCACCATTTAGATGTAAATGTGATCCACTCTTCACCCTCCAAAAACATAATGAGAAAGGTCTCACAATGTGTTTTTTTTTTTTTTTTAAAGTTGAATCTTTTTTATTAACTTGAGCACTGCATATTTAGAATGGCATGTAATGCACGAAACGTTGCAAAAGTCATGAAACATGAGTGCAATAGTCAAATACATCTGTCTAGCATGTGTTTGCATAGAAAAACAATGGAAAAGTAGCGCAATGGAATTGAAAAATGCATTCTGTGTGAACGGGCCCAAGAACATTATTTAACACATTCAATATCTAGATTTTACTAGCAATGGCTCAATAATCTTTTTATTGCCTTTCTCTGATTATCATATCAGCAAAATCCAAAATCAGTCAACTTCTAATTCCTTGTGTATTGATTTATTAGTACATAACCCAATTTCAGTACATATGTGAGTGTTTTAAACAGTTGCAGTTACCCTGTTTTGCAGTTAAATGTTTACCCTAGTCAGTTTAATTAATAAATGTATCTAAGATACATTCATTTTAAGATTGTATCAGATTGTTTTGTATAGACATTTGGTATTAATTTTATTAAGTCTTAAAGTTGTTTTTAAATACCTTTACCAGCAGAAAATTAGTTCTGGACCATTAATGCTTGTCTAATGTGATCTTTTCAATAAGGCAGAGAAAGGCAGAGAGCATTGAGTTCACAGATTGCACTTCAATATTGGATCTTTTATTATTGTTCTGAATGGTTCTGCTTCTTCAGGGCGAGAGAGGCTTTCCCGGACCACCAGGAATACAGGGCGAGACTGGCTTTGGGCTTCCTGGACCAAAGGTTGGCTTTTATATAAAACCTGTGAGATCAGGAACCCAATGAGCTCGTATCTGTGATCATAACATGCGTTTTCTCAATCTGTAGGGTGATGTGGGGTTCCAGGGCAGAATGGGTCCTCCCGGGCCTCCTGGGTTCGGCGAGCCGGGCCAACCGGTAAAGATATGCAAGTGATCATGCTCAATAGAGGTTGTAATCGACATTGAACACAATGATGTCGTTGTATTAACTTCTACAATCATGTTTACTCTGAAGGGCCCACAGGGGCCGCAGGGTTTGCCAGGAGAGAAGGGCCCAACAGGAGAGGGTTTACCCGGACCAAAGGTAAACACGTCATTGCACACAGTTTCAGAATGCAGCGTGTGTGAGTCAAATCATAGTTATGAAGAGGTTTAATATGGTTTTATGCAAGGTGTGTCTTGTGTATGTAGTTTATATCAGAGAACCTTTGAACTTTGTGACCTCTGACCTCAATTAATTTTCTGAGTGATCCGGCATTCTTTCATCATTTTTTAAATTAAATAATGGAACATAATCAATCTTGCTGTTGTTCGACTCCGTATCTGAAAAATGCAGGGTGTGTCAGATATGTTTATGCATTTGGTAGATGCTTTTATCCAAAGCAACTTAAAGTGCTTTCAGTAAATGTGTTGCTTGGGAATCAAACCCATGACTTTGGCGTCGCTAGCGCTGTGCTTTATCAGTTGAGCTTCAGAGGCTTGTTGACACAGGGCAGAATGAGATTTTAAATCGTGTTTTTGCTAAGGCAACCATTTTAACAACCAAAACACCCTGGCAGATATCCAGATAACGTACTATGTAAAAAAAAAAAATAAAAAAAAATAAAAAGATGTTGAAGGCTTTTCTTTGAACCAGTTTTAACTCAAATAATTACAAAGAAACAGAAAGTAACACAGTGAATAAAACATGAAATTTTGAAGTAGAAAGTATTTTCTTGTAAAACGTACTCCAATAATCTTTGTTTCATTTGTTTCTTTTTCATTTACAACTCTGAATTTTTGTATTTTTTTTTTTTTACAGTTTTGCATCATGGCAAAAAAATTTAATCAGAATGAAGAGGTTTAATATGGTTTTATGCAAGGTGTGTCTTGTGTATGTAGTTTTTATCAGAGAACCTTTGAACTTTGTGACCTCTGACCTCAATTAATTTTCTGAGTGATCCGGCATTCTTTCATCATTTTTTAAATTAAATAATGGAACATAATCAATCTTGCTGTTGTTCGACTCCGTATCTGAAAAATGCAGGGTGTGTCAGATATGTTTATGCATTTGGTAGATGCTTTTATCCAAAGCAACTTAAAGTGCTTTCAGTAAATGTGTTGCTTGGGAATCAAACCCATGACTTTGGCGTCGCTAGCGCTGTGCTTTATCAGTTGAGCTTCAGAGGCTTGTTGACACAGGGCAGAATGAGATTTTAAATCGTGTTTTTGCTAAGGCAACCATTTTAACAACCAAAACACCCTGGCAGATATCCAGATAACGTACTATGTAAAAAAAAATAAAAAAATAAATAAAAAGATGTTGAAGGCTTTTCTTTGAACCAGTTTTAACTCAAATAATTACAAAGAAACAGAAAGTAACACAGTGACTAAAACATGAAATTTTGAAGTAGAAAGTATTTTCTTGTAAAACGTACTCCAATAATCTTTGTTTCATTTGTTTCTTTTTCATTTACAACTCTGAATTTTTGTATTTTTTTTTTTTTACAGTTTTGCATCATGGCAAAAAAATTTAATCAGAGGCTGTAAAAATCAATTTTCTATTTATAAATATGCAAAATGTCTTAATGGTTCTAAAATGGGCTTAATTTTCTCTTCTCCAAATATAGTTTTTTCTTTTCTTTTTGTTTTTTTTTTATATTTAGGGTGAATAAAAAAATTTGAAATTGGGATGGCAATGCATGCTATAAATTTGATTTGTCTTTTACAGGGAGAGAGGGGCCTGGAGGGGCTGAAAGGACCCAGAGGACCAGCAGGTCTTGGCATTAAAGGAGACAAGGTAAACCATTCAGATTGATTGAATGAAATTTTCATTTTTAAGTGAACTATTCCTTTAATCACTTTCTTTTTCGAGCTCATATCTCATAAGTAGGTTGAATGTACACTAAGCCTCTCTATACTAGATGTTTAGTTTACTTCAAAAACTTCTACAAAAAAAAAAAAAATTAGAAATGTTCTTAGCTCTGAAAAGTTTGTGGTGTAACTATTTGCATCATTTGCATTATTAAACCCTTCTCTGTGGCTTTTTGAAGGATCATGTCACAGCATGCAGTGCAATCAGTACTCAGCCTGTGGCCAAGACATATATGAATATCAATGTTGTATCTACTCCAAATCATTTTAATAATTAGATTGTGCATGAGCGGACAGATTGGCTTATGCTTGACTCTGAGGTGTGTAATTGCAATAATATATTTGTGTTTTTTGTCTTAAGGGTGATATTGGTCCTCCTGGTCTTCAAGGACCAGTGGGGCTTCCAGGAGCAGGGATCCAAGGAGAGAAGGTGCTGACAAGCTTATGATCTGAGAATGACATAAAAATGTACTGTACATATGCATTGTTGGATATGCTTGTTTTAGGGTATAGAAGGACCGCGTGGACCCCCAGGAAGCAGAGGCCCACCGGGTGAGGGCTACCCTGGACCAAAGGCAAGAGTTTCCCATCATGCTATAAACACTGTCACAACTTCAAATAGTAAAAGGGTTGAATAAACGTTATCTGTTAACTTATGAAATCATCTGTATGTTTAAAAAAATGTGCTCTTGAAGGGTGATCAGGGTTTACCAGGTGAGATCGGAACACCAGGAGAGAGAGGAGCTGGAGAACCTGGAGCTAAAGTAAGTCATCTTCACTTTACTCTTAATGTAAAGTCAACATGAAATCAGAATTCACTCTACCGTCTTTCTTAATTCACAGTCTTGCTCTTGTGCACAATTCATCAGTTGGTCTTTTATCAAAATGTCATTTTTATGATCCAATCAAGTCCAATCCTACATTTTTTTTCTTTACATATTCATTGAAATATGATATTATATTAGATATAATAAGTATGTAAGTTAAATCAATTGCAAACAGCATTTCATGTTGACATTATCTTTTAAGTAGAACTAAAACATTTTTGTTAATTAAAATGAAGCTGGAATAAAATATATATTAGACGAAAAAATTGCTGAGTTTTAAGTTGAAGCACTAAAATTACTAACTAGAAATAAAAACTAAAAGTTAACTAAAGCTAACATTGAAATAAAAACAAATTGAACTTAACTGACAATATAAAAAATTTAAAAAATTTAAAATTAAAATGAAAACAGAAAATACAAAAAAATGAAAGCTAATTCAACATATTAATGAAAACTGTAATAGTATATAAGTAATGATAAAGTAACTGGTACATGTGTAAAGTCATTACATTCTTTCTAAAGAAGCTTCTTGATCACAGTAGTTTTGCTGGTTAAAATGGTTAAGCATCCCACTGAAGACATCAGGTCACAGCAACATTAGGTTGTTAATTTCATTTTTGGAACAGGGTTTTTGCTGGTCTACCAACTCTAACCAGTTTGAGCAAGATGGTCTACTAGGTTGAAAATTAGACACATCATCTGTTAACCCAGCTGAACATACATCTTGATCAGATTGGACCACCTTGTACTAGACAATGATCATAAATGTCAAGCTTTGACCAGCTAGGAACCATGTAAAACTATCACCGCTTTTATCCAGAATTTGAATGATTAATATTTGAATTATTCTGCGAAGGGAGAACCTGGTGCTCCAGGGTTATCAGGATTACCAGGTTTACCAGGAGAGGATGGAGCTCCAGGACAGAAGGTACCAGGCACACTTTAATCTCTTGAGTCATTTTAGTCATTTTAGTTAGCATCAACTGCTCAGAAAAGTCCACACATATTCATAATCTGTGTGTATTTCAGGGAGAACCAGGAGCCCCTGGGTTGAGGGGCTCTGAAGGAGCAGCAGGAGTGGGCATCCAGGGTGAAAAAGTATCTCTTTCACTTTTCTCACATGTTTTCTCACATGTTTAACTTTCTAAAATCATCTTAAAGAGCCATTAAATGAAGTTTTGAGGGTGAGATTTCCATACATGTCAATCTTCCAGTGGGCATCCAGGGTGAAAAAGTATCTCTTTCACTTTTCTCACATGTTTTCTCACATGTTTAACTTTCTAAAATCATCTTAAAGAGCCATTAAATGAAAATTGAAGTTTTGAGGGTGAGATTTCCATACATGTCAATCTTCTTAATTTGTGTTTCAATGGGGTCTTTAACTGTGAACACCAACTTGATGCTTATTGATGTAGTGTTTTGTTAATGTGATGTTGTTTAGGGTGATCAGGGTCAGCGGGGAATCCGTGGGTTAGCAGGGCCACCAGGAATAGCTGGACCCTCAGGGTCAAAGGTGAGTGCTCTCATTGGTGAATCTGGAATATTTCGATTTTTGCTACATAGACATTATATAACATATTATATAAAAATTCCTTCTGTTCTTTATTAATCTCTTTGTAGGGAGAGCCTGGCACCCCTGGGCGCCCGGGATTACCTGGACTACCGGGACGTACCATAACAGGGCCAAAAGTAAAAGCTTTTCTATTGCAATATGGAAATAAACGAAATTTGGGGTATTTTTAATATAAAATGAAGAAAAGCTAGTTTTCACAAGTCACTTTCTGACTTTTGAACCCCACAATATATGCAAAAAACCTTTCAAATGCACAGTGTGTCTGTAAAAAAAGCATTGTATTGTCTCATTGTAGGGTGATTTCGGCCCGCCAGGTCCATCTGGTCCAGTAGGAGAGACGGGATATGGACTTCCTGGGCCAAAGGTTCATTTAATTCTTAATTATTATTAAGACTGTAAAATAAACACATGCTATGAATCCATGTTGTCAGTCTTGATTAAGCATCAATGGATTTGCTCATGCTTTGTTTCTCAGGGTGATCGTGGTGACCCAGGTCCTCCTGGTCTAAGTGGACCAAAAGGGGACGGCTATCCTGGTCCCTCAGTGCGTTAAAAACCTCCACATTAAAATCCATTCATGATTATGACATCATTCTGTAGTGAGGTTCTCATAATTCACCATGAAGTCATATTTTGTTGTTGATGTTTACAGGGGCCTCCTGGTCTTCCAGGTCTTCCAGGAGAACCTGGTCCAGAGGGCATAGGAATACCTGGACCAAAGGTAGGACTGTTCTTATGTGTCACCCTAAAGCAGATCACCTGTATATGAATATTATGATCAAATGGTGTGTAAACACAGGTATTTCATCATGACTGTGTCTCAGGGTGATATTGGCTTCAGAGGTTTACCGGGCTCACCTGGACCTCCAGGCGAAGGACTACAAGGACTTCCTGTACGTCATCAAACGCAGACAGATATTATATCTTGATTTAGCCCTTGTCAATCTCATTCAGATCTTCTTAGCTTTGATTTAGTGCATTCTTGCATTAGATCCTCTCCCATTGTGCCATAAGATTTCAGACTGAGATGGGTAAGATGGAGTATAATAAAAGTAAAAATGATATGGTGGCATGCAATTAAATAAGCAACAGTAAAAGGTAAATAATTACACATTTAAGAGTGGATATCAGCAAGAACTCCTCACCATAATACAAAAGTAAAAATATTTCTGTGTGTTGATGAACATATCATATGAAAAGCATTTAAAATATTAAATATAAAATATTATTTACCATTCAAAAGTTTTTTATTCAGCAAAGCCACAACAAATTAATCAAAAGTGACAGTGAAGACATTTATAATGTTACAGAAGATTTTCAAATAAACTTTCTATTCATCAGAGAATTCGGAGAAAACAAATGCATGACAGTTTCCACAAAAATATTAAGCATAACAACTGTTTTCAGCAAGGATAATAATAGTAAATGTTTCTTGAGCAGCAAATCAGAATATTAGAATTATTTCTGAAGGATCATGTGACACTGAAGACTGATGCTGAAAATTCAGCTTTGCATCATAGAAATAAATTACATTTTACAAAATATAAAAGTGTTACTTAAAATTTTAATGATATTTCACATTATTACAGTTTTTACTGTGTTTTTGATCAAATAAATGCAGCCTTTGTAAGCAGGAGAGACTTCTTTCAAAAACCAAAACATCTTACCAATCCCAAACATTTGAATGGTAGAGTTTTGGTATAGTACAAAAAAAATTGTACAAATGTGGCTGATTGTTCCCATAATTAATAATAATGATTTGAAACTTTTAGGTTAAAATGTGTGTTTTGCTATTTTTTTTTAAATAAATGGCATCTAATGTTATCACTTGATAATATCTGTAAAGTATTTCTTCTAATATCTGTCTCCCTGAATGAACTTCCCATAGAATACGTGACATTCCTCAAAGGCTTAACACCTTAACACCACATTTATCATAGTACTATATCTGTGATGATCGTATATTCACCACAAGATACGCACACACACTTGCTCCAAATCTTCTACATATGTCCAGCAAATCCGGATAATGTAATCCAGTAACCTAAACGTCATTCCAGATGTCTCAGTGCTGCTTTTATCTCAGCACCAATGAATCTGAACGTGTTTTACCCTTGACTTGTGTTAATACTAATGTCTCTGAACAAACCAGGGCAACATGGGAAGACCAGGACCTCCTGGACCTACTGGGCCACCTGGACAAGGCCTACAGGGTCCAAAGGTGGGACACTGGCATAAACAAATCATAAAGATTTGAACACACATATATATGCTTTCAAACCCATCAGCATATCTTATACACTGTTGCAGGGTGATCAGGGGTCACAGGGTGTGAGCGGGCCAAGAGGACCTCCTGGAGAAGGAATGCCCGGGTCAAAGGTCTCAGGTTTTGTTATATAATCTGTGTTGTGATTGAATATTCGTATAGTTTAATATGAAGCCCATTTGTGTTTTTCAGGGGGATCGTGGAGGTCTGGGCGAGAGAGGGATGAAGGGGGTTAAAGGTGATATGGGAGATCCTGGCGTTCCTGGACAAACAGTTAGTAAATTACCCTCAGCATTGACAGAGTTGCTGCCTGTGTGGAGCATTTCAAATCAGTCATAATGTATATGAGTTTCTATTTCATATCGGATGCAGCCTAAATAGTAAACAGCAAGGTAATTTGTTAAAATGTGGTCATGTGCAATGAAATAAATCATTTGGTTCAATAGCATGCAATGAAATACACATCCCAATAAAATGCATAAAAAAAGTGTTTAAAATTTTTTTGTAAAACTGAAACATTTAAGAACAACAGAAATCAGTAAGAGCTTCTCACCATTATTTAAAGCAAACTATGTTTAAAGCAATTTATGTTTATAAAATATCTCAGTGATGTAATTTCCCTTTTTCTGTATATATTGAGATGTACTATAACTCACTAACTCACTTTTTTCAGGGTAGACCAGGATTTAAAGGAGAATCTGGACTAACGGTGTGTCTTTTACATCTTTCACGTCATACTACATCATTCAAATCATAATATGCATTTTATGCATATACTGTATGCATTTCAAACGACTCGCATATTAAGTTTTTTTGTTTTTTTTTAGAGGGACGAGATAATCAGAATGATCAGGGAGATTTGTGGTATGTGTATCCCACATTACAGTTGAACATAATTTGCTTTATATACTGTTCAAAAGTTTGGGGTCTGTAAGATTTTTAAAAATGTTTTCTAATTGAAGTCTCTCCTGCTCACCAGGACTGCATTTATTTGATCAAAAATACTGGAAAAACAGTAATATTGTGAAACAATTTTGCAGTTTAAAATAACAGTTTTCTATTGTAATACATTTTAAAATGTAATTTATTTCTGTGATGCAAAGCTGAATTTTCAGCATCATTACTCCAGTCTTCAGTGTCACATGATCAAGAAACATTTCTATATTTTTGTGGAAACTGTGATACATTTTTTCAATATTTTTAATGAATAGAAAGTTTAAAAGAACAGCATTGATTTGGAATAGAAATCTTGAACATTATAAATTGATATTGTCACTTTTAATCAATTTAATGGATCGTAAATAAAAGCATTAATTATTTTAGAAACATTTTACTCACCCCACTTTTGAATGGTAGTGTGTAAAGTTCATGAAATGTCCTGTATTGTCTATCAGGTTGCGGAGTCAAGTGTAAAGAGCGTCCCATGGAGCTGGCGTTTGTGATTGACAGCTCTGAAAGCGTCGGGCCTGAAAACTTTGAGATCATCAAGGACTTTGTGGCCGCTCTAGTCGACAGACTCACCGTGGGGCGTAATGCCACCCGAGTCGGTCTCGTTTTGTACAGCTTAGAGGTCCAGCTTGAGTTCAACCTCGCTCGCTACATGACCAAACAAGATGTCAAACAAGCGATACGCAGGGTTCACTACATAGGCGAGGGAACATACACCGGCTCTGCCATCCGCAAAGCAACTCAGGAAGCGTTTTACAGTGCAAGGACGGGGGTCAGGAAGGTTGCCATTGTCATCACAGACGGACAAACGGATAAACGGGAGCCTGTGAAGCTGGAAATCGCTGTCAGGGAGGCGCATGCAGCTAACATTGAGATGTACGCTCTGGGGATTGTTAACATTAGTGATCCGACACAGGAAGAGTTTCTCCAGGAGCTCAATCTCATTGCGTCGGACCCTGACAGTGAGCACATGTTCTACATAGACCACTTCAACACCTTGCCAGGTAACAGATACAGCAAACTTGAGGCTGTATACTTATACTTATGTTTGCATGCGATACATATGGAGGTATGCAAATAACCTTCAATATGTGCAAGATGTTTTTTCTCACAAAATGGTGTATTTATGGCATCTACCAGCAGGGGCATGTTTTTTTGTTTTGTTTTGTTTTTTTATATCCCTTTTTATCTTGACTCACTATTTGATTGCACTGCTAAAAAGTCATTTTTAAACAAACTTTATGCATTTTACACAAACTTGAATACATTAAATATGCTAAATATTTGCATTTTGTATGATCATAACTGCACTTCAACATCTAAAGTCTTTGGTGCAGCAGTTATACCTTAAAAAGCCTGAATAATTAAAGTTAAATTTACTTTTGATTTATTACAATACAATTGCCATTCATTATTACAATTGTATATATGATCATATACTATATTTATTTAATTATTTGTTTATTTATTTCAATAAATCCAAATGATTGGCTTAATCTGGAATTGATCAGATGTTTACATTTGGGTAGAATTAAATATCTAATATTGCTTTTCTCTCTTTTTAATGCACAGCTCTGGAGTCCAAACTGGTCAATCAGCTCTGTGAGGATGAAAACGGAGCACTTATCTTCAGTCGCATTAATGGTTTTGAAAACGGATATGGTATTAATGGCAACCGCATCAATGGTAATGGCAGGGACAATTATGGCACAAACATAAATGAAGGCCACAGACAGAACACGAGAACACACTCTGGGATGAACACTGTCCCTCATGAGAGCGGGAGAGGAGACACGTTTGCTCCAACAGCTGGTCCAGACATTACTGAGGTTAGTGCACTGATGGTCTCAACAGTGACCACCCGCTTTCTTGCTTTGGTTTAGTAATAAAAATAATGAATGGAATTTTTACTTGCGCTCAACTTTGATTTTGTTTTGAGTATTTTTAGAGTTTCTAATGTTCTCTCAGGAGGATGAGCGGGTACCTGAGACACCAGACACAAACACTTCAGAACAGAGCAGCGGTAGAGGAGATACTCCAACAGTCACTGGGACATCCACACACAGCAGGCCTTCATCAGGGACAACATCATCATCATCAACATCAACTGTGAACACCTCAACCTCAGTGCGGTATATACCAGCACCACGACCACCATTGCCTAAAGGTAAAACAAAACACATTAACAAATACACGACACAATACACTACTGTTCAAAAGTTAGGGATCAGTAAGATTTCTCTTAATTAGTTAAAGAAGTGAATGCTTGTATTCAGCAAAGATGCATTAAATAAATCAAAAGTGACAGTAATGACTTAAATATTGTTACAAAATATTTTTTTTTACTTGAAAAAAGTATCACGGCTTCTGCAAAAAAACAGCAAGCAGCACAACTGTTTTCAACAGCATATTAGAAGGATTTCTGAAGGATCATGTGACACTGAAGACTAGTAGCCTTAAAAGGACAACTTTGGACCTTATCGACCCCTAAAGGGTACATATTAGAGCTGTGAAATGAACCCTTAAGGTACTACTACGAACCTTTTATTGGTAAATTAGATACAAAGATGTCCCTTTGAGGGTGATTTGTACTCTTTGTACCCCTAAAGGTACAGTTTTTGCTCTATTTTCTGAGAGTGCACAAATATATCCAGCTACAGATTCGTGTCCTCCCAGGATCTGACATATGAGTAATAAAGTTTGACTCAAGACACCAAGTGGTTGAGGCAGTTGAAAATGGCTCATCACCTGTTGTAGTCGCAGCTGTCTTCAAACACTGCTAGCGAACCCTTCGTTTATGTGGGGAACTGAACTCAAAGACACTTGCATAAAAACTTGCAGACAAAGTATAGAAGAATACATTGGGATTGGTAAAACTTGCAGACTCACAGGTCTCCTCAGAGCTTTATGTGACAGCCGACGTCTAGGCTGGCCATCACATTGGGATCTCCTTCTTCACAACTAGCATTGAGGGATGAGATGCTGAAAATGCAGCTTTGATCACAGAAATAAATTACATTTTAAAATATGCATATTACAATAGAACATTTATTTTAAATAGTATCAGTTTTCTGTATCTTTGATCAAATAAATGCAGCCTTAGTGAGCATAAGAGACTTCTTTCAAAAAAAATAAAAAATCTTACCAACTACAAACTTTTGAATGGCAGTGTACATTCTTCAAATCCCTGATTTCATAGATACTCATTCATTTTTTAGGAAACATTACTAGAAAATTACTACAAAGGATTACAAATAAAGCATTTTGTTAATTTTATGACATTTACTTGCATCTTTTTTTTAAATTTTTTTTTTTTACTTATTTAAAAGTGCAAAGTCTGCTGCACATGCATGCACAGGATGTGTGATATCACATGCATTCCAGATCATCTTGTCACCAAATTGCCTATATCATCTGCAGTCTTTTGATTTATTGAAATGTCTGATGAACAACAAAAAAAACTCTATAGTTGAAAAAGCAAGTAACTTAGTGAAATATCTGAAAATGTTGTTCACCAGACCAGATCTGAAATATGTCAATCTTTTTTTTTAAATCTGTTTTCAGAGGTTGTATCTCTGGACCCCCGTTGTGAGCTGCTCCTGGATCAGGGCCCTTGTCGGGACTATAACATTCGCTGGTACTACGACCGGCAGGCCAATGCCTGCGCGCAGTTCTGGTACGGAGGCTGTGACGGGAACCGGAACCGCTTTGACACAGAAGAAGATTGCAAAAAGACATGTGTTGTCGTGAGAGCAGGTAAAATGCACATTTGAATTTAACTTATCCCTGGTAAAAAATTACTGAAAATGAAAATGGACACCAGTTTCTGCCATATAGTCACACTCTTTTCTTTGCATTTAGGAGGCTGATATCCGTTATGGATACATTTCCCTTTGTCTGTAATTCCTCACACTCCAATACAACGGACCTGCACTGAAATACACAAAGTATATGAAAAATTGGTAGGACAGGGCATTTCATTGAGAGTAGCTAATTGATAAAACACAGTACTTTCATATCACAACCTTCAGAACTGTGAATAAGCAATACTGTAATATTGTACACTGTCATAGTTACACAACATTCATTGAACTGACATTAATGTAATAAATGAAATGTAGTCTTGATTTTGAAAACTAATGTTGTTGGAATCAATGTAATAAAGCTTGTCATTTTGTATCTTGTACTTTTGGTAATAAAATATTTTGTATGTAGATAAATGGCCTGGCTGTTACACTGTCAACAAATCCAGATTTTCTGCAATTTCATGTTCACTAAATCACGCTGTATTTTATGTTCAGCTCAAGAAAGATTTGTGCTGGTTATTATAGTGTTATAATGAGGTAATGAGGAA